CACTCATCCTCCTCAACTCATGGCCAATCCTGTTATATCTTGTTCTTACACGATGCCCCACCTCCATAGTATCTTTGTAGGTCAAATTTAGTGAAGCATACTTGACACACAGTAAAATTTACCCTTTTTATAATTCAACAAGATGTGACCGATGTATGAGCCAGCACAATCAAGATATAAAATATTTCCAACACCCCGAAAGTTTATGATCCCTTTGCAGCGAAATCCCTTCCTTCCAGTGTTCCTGGGAAACACTGATTAGATTTCTGTCCCTATAGTTTTTTTCTCTTCTAGTACTGGGCCTCCATTTATAAACTTCTCGATTTTTAACAAACCAGCATTTTAGGCTGCAGACTTTATTTTTAGAATCTCTCATGGTTCCAAGGATACATAGCTAGGTTAGACTGGAGCTCTGGCAACGGCCCTTCTATATGAGGGAGAATAAACAAGTGATCATCTCCCCATCAGGGCACAGGCAAGATACAAAATGGGGCTCTGGGCTTCCTAAAGGAGGGGAGGAGGGAGCCTTGAGAAAATAGTGTCCTTTTGGAACCTGAGGCACAGAACAGCCTCATACACCCTTTTTTCTGTGGTTAATTGCAAGGGATTGATTGAAACCATTCCCACCACTTCTAAAAATTCTCACTCAACTAATACCTATTGAAAACCTTCTATTTTCTAGACACTGTTGCAGCAGCTTGGGAAATATTTGTGGACAAAATAAAGATTTCCACCCTTATGGAGATTAAACTCTATCAAGCATAAACAGACACTAAATAAGAAACATAAGAGATTAAAAATAATATGGCATGGCAGAGGTGATAAGGGCAATGCAGGGAAGTAAAAGATCAGGAAAGGAGGGCAGCAGGAGGGCAGGAGTGGATTGAAGAATTAAGTAAGATGGTCAGGGCCCATTTCCCTGAGAAAGTGGGATCTGAACAAACACTAGAAGGGATGGATGGGGAGTTGGGCAGGTGGGTGCTGGGGAGTGAGTAACCCAGGTTCAGGGAATGGTTTGGAGCTAAGCCCTTGTGGAATGTTTGAGAATCAGAAAGGAGGGCAGTGAGGCTGGGACAGAGGGAATGAGAGGAAGGAGAAAGAGAGGGGTCAAAGACAGTGCGGGCCTTGCAGGCGCACTGGCACGTCAATGAGTTGAGAAGATTCACCCTCTACTGTCAACTATGACCCTTATATTCTGATCACTGCACTGCAGTGTTTAAAACATTGTGCCAAATCTCATGGGATTCTAGGAGATAACTGGCAAACAGAATTAGGCAGATCCTTTGGTTAAATATGGACTTACTTTACTTTCTCAATGGAAACTACCTAATAGCTACTCCTATACAGAGCAGAGTGGTAATTCCGAGCCTCTGGGCCAGTAGTTCTGGGTCTGTGACCTCAGTGCCACCACTTTGAAGCTGTGTGGCCTGGGGCACGTTGATTCTCCTCTCTGAGCCTGTTTCTTTGGCTCTAAAGTGGGGATGGTAATCAGTGCCTGTTATTGGCTTAATTGTGCACCCCCCCCCAACCAGATTCATATGTCAAAGTCAAGACTGCTGTCCTTGTATGAAATAGAAATTTGGATGCTGACATGCACAGAGGAAACATTGTGAGGACACAGGCAGAAGACAGCCATCTACAAGCCAAAGAGAGACCTCAGATGAAACCCACCCTCCAACACCTTGATCTTGGACTTCTAGATGCCAGAACTATGAGAAAGCAAATTTCTATTGCTTAAGCCCCCTGGTCCGTGGTATTTTGTTATGACAGCCCCAGGAAAGGTTTACAGTACCTTTAAAGGACTGTTATGGGGTGCGCTTTTAGGGAACTGGCGTCTAAAGGCTGTGCTTTCTAAATCTGATTCATTCTTACCCTGCAGGGCTGCATTCTCTCCACCAGGAGAGATGCTGCCAGGAACAGCCTTTCGCAGGTGCAACTACCAGAATTTTAATTTTTTTCCATTACAGAAAATGTTTTTTTTTCATTAAATAGACAAAATTGCTATTTAAACTATATCTGTACATCCCCGTTGATTTTACTGTATGTTGTCATAAAAGTAAAATAGAAATATAGTTAAAAATGAAACCTTGTAGGAAAATGTAAGAGGAAAAGGCCTCTCTCCATTCAAGTTTCTACTCCCTGCTGTGTGCTCAAAAGTTCAGCCCTGATGACAGTTTACTTATGGATCCTTCTAGGGAAATATTTTATTCATTTATCAGAAAATATAGGTATATGCAACCTTTAAAAATTTATACAAAAGATACCAAAATTTATGGAAGGTACTCCCCCCACCCTCATCTAACATCTTGTAGATTTTTTTTCCTATCAGCCATACAGACCAAGTTCATTCTGTCTCCTGGGCTGTATAATATAGCTCACATAATTCTAAGTTCAAAGGTCAGGTGGTTCTGGGGAGGAAGGTGCCAAAATCTAGTCTTTCCATGAGGCCATCAGAGACCCGGCTGCTTGCACCTGTCTACCGTGCCACCTGTGGCCTCATCCTTACCAGAGGGTGACTGTAAGGTGCTTGCCAGTGGCTGCTGGGAATGCATGTTTTTTATATTACATTCATAGGACAAGGGGAGGGAAGAGAGAGAAAGAAGCCTCTCCTTGGGGGCCATAGCTTCTTTTTAGCCAGGCTGAGCTCACTTGAGTCACATATTTCCCTGAGACCGATAACTGTTGCTAGGAAAACACCCTGTATACATTGGCCTAAACCAAACAGGATCATCCTCTAGTGGGAGATGTGGTGGCGGCCTGACCGAGTCTGGGTTCCTGGGTCGGCAGGGTGTGAATAGTAGGTCGGGGGTCAGCAGTGTCTTCAGGGTAGGAGTACTTTTCATTTGCACAGAGCTGCACACAAGCATGTTCAAGTGTATGCAGGTAAAGCGAGATGTAGAGAAGGAAGATCACCAAAACTGGCGAATGGTGGTTATCTTTGATTAGTTGTTTCAACTCTTTACAATGAATACATTTACATTATACAAAAAAAGATATGCCCTTTTACATGCCATCAGTGATCACTTAGGATAGAAACAGAATAATTGTCTTTTCTCAAGAGCATGCAGAGTTTTATGGTGATCCTCACAATAAACATTCTAAGAACTATTTCAGACATCCTGTAGACATGGGTCGTTGGTGACAAGCTGGTGTGAATTCTGCTTTGGCATTTCACCTACTTACCATCCCCAGGAGGTGGGGATTCAACGATGAAAGTTTTCTGCCCCCTCCTCGGCCAGGTGCTTGTGGCCTAGTGGGGTGGGATAGGATATAAGAATAGAAGAACTGAGGCAGCTTGTGGTTGTTTTCATGAAGAGCATGGGACCACAGAGAGGAAGTGACCCACAGGCTGGGAGAAGTGGAGGAAGAGCTTGCAGGGGATGGGATATTAGAACTGTGTGGGGACAATCAGAGCAGGTGGGTGGTGGCAACCAGTGCCTGGCATGCCCACGAAGGAACAGGGGCCACATGGTGTTCTCACTGCAGGCCAGCCTCACGGCCAGAACTGGACTCTCGCATTGAAATGCAGGCTGGTGTCCTGTATTCATTTTCTACTGTGGTGTAACAAATTGCCACAAATTTAGGAGCTTAAAGCAACATCCTTTTAGTATCTCATATGAGATAATATATGGACATGAGACGATGCCCTGAGTCTCACATGGCTGAAACAAAGGAGTGGGCCTGGCTGTCTTCCTTTCTGGAGGTTGTGGGGGAAGAATTTGCTTCTAGGTTCATTCAGAGTGTTGGCAGAATTCAGTTCCTTGAAGTTCCCCTCTGTCTTCAAGGTATTAGAATCCTGGCCAGGCACATAGAGCCCTTCCTGGGCTTCCTTCCAATCTCTCACCTCCTCTTCTGCTTTTCTCTTATGCTTTTAAGGGCTCATGTGATTTTATTGGGCCAACCTAGATAATCCAGAATAATCTCTGTATTTCAAGGCCAACTGATTAGTGACCTGAATCTCTTCTGAGGAGTAAAGTAACAGTCCCAGGGATTAGGATGTGGAAACTTTTGCCAAGGCCGGGGTGGGGGACATGATTCTGCATGCTTCAGTTCTGGAGCTGGACCTTGGCAGCCATCAATACCTATAGCACAGGGTCCTGATGAACCACCTGGGAGGATACCAGGCTTCCTGCTGGGTGACCAGGGCCAGTCCCAGCCCTGCCAGGCTTCTCCTTCTCTGAGAAGTGTCAGCGGAGTCGGTTGGTACTGGGTCCAGGGCCACCTGCCCTGCTGGCCAAGGCTCATCCAAGAATTGGCCTCAAGTATTTTACATGTACTATCATGATGAATTCATGACAACGTTTAAAAAAATCAGAAACCGTTTCATGAAAATCTGCATTTTTTCTTTCTCTGGAAAGTTCATCAGCTCTGGCAAAGCTGAGTTGCTGGCCAACCTGGAACTGGGGGCACCCTGGGGGAAGGGAGGAGGGTCTGTGCGCGCTCCCTGAAAGTATCTGCCCTGGGAGGCCCCACTGAGTCCACACCCAGTTTTCCCGGGGTCTCCACGAGGACGGGGAGGGAGGGAATCCGCGTTTACTGGGCCCTCGCCAGTGGCAGCCACTGACTCTATATTCACTCCTTGACTTCTCCGAACAACTATTTTGCTGGTGCGCCCACGGCACACGGTTGGGGCCTTATGCCAGGGTGGCCTCTAACCCGCGCCGCCACCAGCCGGAGCTCGTCCCCGGCGCCCCCTCGGCTGCCCGCTCCCGCCCCCGCCGGCTCCGCGTCCCCGCCCCTGGCTCCGGAGCGCGGCCGGGAGGCCGGGCGGGGAAGGGGCCGGAGCCTGGAAGCCCGCCGCGCCCGCCACCCCCGCCACCCCCGCCACCCCCGGTCCTTCGCCCTCGGGGCCGTCGCGGGCCGTCCCCCTCCGTGGTCACGTGAAGAGCCGAGCGGAGCGCGCCCAGCGCGGGCCTCCGGGGGCCCGAGGACAGAGTCCGCCGCGGCGGTCCCGGCGGTCCCGACGCTCCCGCACCCCGGCCCGCCGCGCCGCCGCCGAGATGCCCGGGGCCGGACGAGCCGCGGGCGTGCGCCGCCTGCGCCCGCAGCCGTCGGAGGAGCCGCCCACGCAGGAGGTAAGGGGGCGACGGCCGCCGCGCTCGCAGGACGCCCCGAGGGCTGGCAGCGTGCGCCGACGGCAGAGTCTGCGGCCCCGAGGTTTCCCTCCCCGCGCGGCCACCCCCGGAGCTCCCGGGTAGAGCGCGACCTCGCGCAAAGCCGGCGCGGGCCGCTGGGAGTGAGGGCCCCGTGTGGGAAGGCGGGCCAGGAGCCCCTCCGCCCCGGGGCTTACTCCGTCCTCTGGGCCGCGGGAGCCCTGGCACCCGGCGCTGCTCCGCTGGAAAGCGCACGGGCGGCCGCGGCTCTCGGGATCCGCGCCCCGGGCCGCAGCCCTGCACGCTGCAGTCGGTAGGGGGGCTGTCAACCCCGCGCCGCCTTAGCCCTCCCGGAGACGCCTTCCCCGGACGGGGCCCGGGCTGGGACCGGCGCCCAGGCTCCGTTTGGGGGTCCAGGGCCAATGAAGCGCGTCCCCGCGCGTCCCCGGGTCTGGGTGGCCCGTGCTCGCCGCACTGTGCTCCATGGCGGCAGGAAAACATCCGAGGGTCCCATTGCAGGGAAACGCCCGGCAAGAAGGCTGCAGGATGTGGGTCTGGGAGTGCTGATGCAGCGCCGGCTCTTCTGATCCCCGCGGGACGAAGCAGATGTGCTCAGCTCTGCACTTCTTTGGAAGACGTGGAGCTTCCAAGCAGTCATTCCTGGACTGTTGCCTTTCTCTGGACAAGCACTCAGAGCAGAGAGGGAGGCAGAGCTCCAGTGATAGGAAGCCCCCGCTTGATTCAGGAAACGCTAACTGTGAATGACAAGATGAGGGGGGCCCATGATCTGGTCGAGCGTCTGTTTTCCCCCTCTGTAAGGTGGGATGATAATTCACACACACCTCAGAGGAGTGTGAAGGCCGTGTCAGGCTCAGGGCACTGTGCCTGGCCCACGGTAATGACAGCCAGGCTTCTCGGGGAACATTCATACGTGCTGCATTTCCTTCTGGTTGTGCAAGTGTGTGGGAGGTGAAGGGTGTTTTAGTCCCTTCTTCTCCTCCTTGAGCTGGCCTCTTCAGCTCTGGGCTGTTCTTAAAGCCACTGCCTCTCCTCAGTGGGCTCCTGTAGCCTGCTGAAGAGGGCCCACGGGGCAGGCTCTGCGGCGTAGGATTTAAAAGACCCGCCTGGTGCATTGGCCTGTGTCTTTGGCCTGCTGGTCTGGCCACGTATAACAGGTGAATTCTGCCACATCTCCTTAAGAGAACAGGTAGAGGAAGGCAGGTCAAGGAGAGAGAGAGGAGGGGAAGGATTGTTGGTTGACCGAACAGGCCCTGCCCCTCTCCTTCTGCACAATGATGGACCTGTGATCACCAGAATTTTCTGTAGCAAGAACTGTAGCCTGGAGACTGTCCATATCCTCCCTGTGTGTATTTAATGTTTCTTTGTCTGAATAAGAGAAGAATGTAAAGACACGAATAATTTGAGACCTCAAGAAATGCAAGGAAGGCTGAAAACAGCCCAGGGGAGCAGGCAGAAAAGGTGAGGAGCCTGGTACCAGCTGGTAATTCTCAGCAGAACCCCTCATTTTCTGAGATAACAGCGATGATGGAGTCATTAAGCCAAGGCTCTGACCTAAGACACTTGGTAGCTCCGATGGCATGATTAGTTTTGGGTCACTGAATAAAAAACTGCCTAGTCATCTGAAATGCCATTTCCACCCTCTCCTTTCAAGCAGTTTTTTAGAACTTTTTTCTGCCTGGTGTTTATTTTGGCAGATTCTAAAATGGCAACCCACTCCTTTGGTGCTTTTCCCAACAGTTCCAGCTGTGAAATTGAAATAATCCAATGCTAGTGATTCTCAGCCTTACTGTTGGTTATAATTACCTGGGGAGTTTTTAGAAGTGTATCTGGGTTCAGGCAGGCCCTACCCCTCGAGATTCTGATGTAATTGGTCTGAGTATGGTCTGGGTAACGGTCACTTTAAAGCTCCCAAGTATTGAAAGCGCAGCCAAGGTTGAGAGCCCATGCCCTGTATGCTGTTACTTTGTGACCTTTGTGATCACCTCTTAGTATCTTATGTGCTTCTCTTCGAATGTTCCCTATTCTTAAACCTTTTCCTTCAAGTCTTAGATTACCGTGTCTTCAGGCTCTGGTCTTCCGGTGTTGCCTTATAGTGATTTGCAGAGAAGTTTTTTTTTGCAGGGGGAAAATGGGAGTAACCGGGAAGGCCTGGGAGACTATTGGTTAAATCAGGGAGTCTTAAACTGAAGTGTCCACAGGGGCCAGAGAGGAATATAGGTGGCCTATAGTGGCCTAGGTGGGAATGACTCAGTTGGGGAGGAGAGTGGGGCTTGTGGTGACACGGAGGACATGTTTTTTGCCCCAGGAAGACCACGGTTATCCACTTGCGGTTGGTTGTGGCTACACGGCCTATCATAGATTGCAACAATGGCCACAAACTCTTCCCATCCTGGACACGGACGGCCCCATTTGCAATGAGCCTTTGCAACTCCTTACATCAGGAGGTGGAGTCAATTTCTCCAGCCCTTGAGACCATTGACCAGGCGACTTGCTTTGGCCAATGCGACATTAGCAGATGTGACACAAGCAGGGATATGAAAAACACTTGAGCATCGGTTCTTGCCCTCCTGATGCTCCTGGGAATCCTTTGACCACCGATGTGTGGAAGAGCCGTGGCCAGCCTGCTGCCTGGCGCACATGCCCGAGACACGTGAGTGCGGCTGTTCTAGGCCATCTCCTCCAGATGGCCATACAGATCAGCTAAGTTGACCTGGACCAGATGGGCTGCCTGGCTGACCCACCGAACTTGGAAAAAATAATGAGTGTTTATTTAGGTGACCTGAGTATCGGGGTGGGTCACAAAAGCATATTGAAATAGAGCCCAGCATTGCCAGATGTTATGACCTTTCAAAGAGAAACCAGAAGTTCAAATTTTTGTGTAAGCTCCAGTTAAAAAAAAAAAAAAAATTGAATTAGTAGCCAGCATCCATAAAGCACTCTCTGGGCCAAACAAAACACATCTTTAGACTGCCCTTGGCCTGCAGGTTGTTGGTCTTTCTGCACAGAGGGACGTGAGGTGTTTATACTAACAGCTAATTGCCATCTATTCTCTCACCCATCTTCCCGTGGCTGCTATGCCCCAGCTTACCCTTAGCAGCTAGCTGTTTCTTTATATGAAATGTCCACAACATACTTCACAGCCCGGACTTCTGCTGGCAGTCTTTCCACTTGGAAATGGAAACTTCTGGTATTTCCAGTCTTCGTAGAGGAAGTGAGATTTGAGATGGGCCCGCAAAGAAGGAAAGTTCTAGAAAGGATACTCTTGGTTTTTACGTGAACAAGAGATCAGGCGCGGAAGTGGGGCTGGTGGTGGGGCCGTGGATGGCACACCCACGAGTTGTGGCCAGAGAAGAGGGTTTCTGTAGGGAATTGAGGGTGACAAAGTTGGAGACAAGGGAGATTGTGGAGCCCCTAAATGCCAAGCCAGAGATGTCACATTAGATTCCGTGGGCAATCTATGTAAAGAGAAGTCAGAGGAGGGAGATTGTGGAGCCCCTAAATGCCAAGCCAGAGATTTTACATTTGATTCTGTGGGCACTCTATGCAAAGAGAAGTCACTAGAAGCTTTTGAATGGGAGTTGGATAGGAAAGCACCGATCACCTCTGTTCCAGGCATCCGTGTGCTTGTAACCTGTGGGGGGAAAGAAGGGAGGCCAAGAGAGAGACAGACAGAAAGGACAGTCCTTGTAGTGAGGGAAAAACTGAGATGAGGGAATTTTCCTTAAAATTTATGGCAACTTCTTTTTACCTTAGGTTGTGGTTAGTTAGGTTAATTGTCTTCTATATCTAAATAGGGTAGGGGCGCCTGGGTGGCGTAGTCGGTTAAGCGTCCGACTTCAGCCAGGTCACGATCTCGCGGTCCGTGAGTTCGAGCCCCGCGTCAGGCTCTGGGCTGATGGCTCAGAGCCCGGAGCCTGTTTCCGATTCTGTGTCTCCCTCTCTCTCTGCCCCTCCCCCGTTCATGCTCTGTCTCTCTCTGTCCCAAAAATAAATAAACGCTGAAAAAAAAAAATAAAAAAATAAATAGGGCATATCGGCTTTTTTCAAAGCACTTCTGTCAACAACTTCGTCAAGGTTCTTGTTTGACTTAAAGGTGTCTGGAGCTTCCAGTTTATTCCTACACTGGGGGCTTAGGGAAGGAACTTCCCTGCTCTCTACTGAGAGCCTCTGGAAATGATGATTCCCTCCCCCACCTCCCACCCCGCCCTGTGCATTTTCTTCCCTAAGTGATTCCCTAAGTGATTCTAAGTTATTCACCTTTCCTCAGAATGCAAGTTTACAGGGTTGAGAGGGCCAGAGGAGAAAACACAAAAATCTTAAACGCATTTTTAAATCTCGGGGACAGGAGAGGCAATGTCACAGCTTCGAGAAGAGGAGAAAAAGAAAGTCAAGAGAAGTCAGTTATTGCCATAGCGCCATGAAGATGCAAAACATACAAGAAGCAGTAGTAAAATGGCCACGTTTAGACCAGTGATTTTCCATCTTGACTGCATATTGGAACCCCCAGGGAACTTTCCAAATTCATCCTGGGTCTCACCTTCCTGAGATTCTGATGTGGTTGGTCTGGGCAAGGAGAGCTTTACAAGCAAAGCTCTGAAGGTGGTGGTCTGAGCGGTGGGAGTTCTAGAACTGCTCCCCTGGCAGCCACTGGTGCCTTCCCTAGGTGGAGGCTGCTGCTTTGAGGTGCAAAACCATCTATTAGCTGCACGGGGGGGGGGGGGGGGGGGGGGGGGGGGGGGTGGGGGGGGGGGGGGCGTGGGAGGGCATTGCTATTTGGTCTTTGCTGTTTTATGGTAGATATGGGCAGTGGTTCCCATATAAACTTGAAGTATGCAGTTTTGAAACAGCATGTCTGACACAAGCCCATTCTTGGGTTGGATGAAAATGATTTGTTTTATGGAAAGATACCAATGACCTTAATACCAGTGAGAATGCTCATTATAGTAAGGTTGCCCGTTAAGAGCACTTTCCCAAGGAAAAATGGGAAGGACCCTTAGGAGGTGCACGCAAACAGGATGGAGAGAGGGAAGATAGGTAGGAGCAGAAGACAGAGCAGATGAGGTTTTAAAAAGAGACATGCTCGGAAATGCAATAGCTAAGGGTGGGAAAACTCTGAAACAATATAAAGGTAAATTTGCTGTTGTGAAAGTGTCAGCATATTTAAACATAGCAGGTATGAATTCAGATGGCAAGGGGGGAGTTGAAAGAGGTTCCATGGTGCTTATTTCATTCATTCAGTGTGGGGAGCCTGGGTGATGACTGATGGAGGTGACCCCCAGGGTCTAGCTGGGTGAGGAGGGATTGCTGGTGAGCATTTTTTTTTTTTCTACCTGGAGGCCATGTGGATGATGCATCTCAAATCCACAATTGTCAAACTCCTTTTGTGCGGACAAACTTTCACTGGGACTGAAAGAATGTTAGTAGTATCATTTTTTTTTTTCAGTAATTGTTTTTTTTTTTGAGATAGAGAGAGAGAAGTGCGAGTGGGGGAGGAGCAGAGAGATGGAGACACAGACTCCAAAGCAGGTTCCAGGCTCTGAGCTGTCAGCACAGAGCCTGATATGGGGCTCGAACTCACGAACTGTGAGATCATGACCTGAGTGGAAGTCAGATGCTTAACCGACTGAGCCACCCAGGCGCCCCCCAAAATATTTTTTAATGTTTACTTATTTTTGAGAGAGAGGGAGAGAGAGAGAGAGACAGAGAGACAGAGCACAAGCGGGAGAGGGGCAGAGAGAGAGAGGGAGATACAGAATCTGAAGCAGGTTCCAGGCTCTGAGCTGTCAGCACAGGGGTTTGAACCCACGAATCATGAGATCATGACCTGAACTGAAGTTGGACGTTTAACTAACTGAGCCACCCAGGTGCCCCCGTAGCATCATCTTTTTAAATTGGGAACAATTAAATTGGCTTTAAGAGATTTTGCTTTAAATATATCTATGTCTGTGTCTATGTCTATATCTGTATCTATAAACACAGGGCTTGATCTCATGACCTGGGCTGGAATTAAGAGTTGGACACTTAACTGACTGAACCGCCCAAGTGACCCTAAATATGTTTTTTACACTTGATCTTAGCCAAAAGGCTGAGAAGTGATCCTAAATATATTTTTTAAAGGAAGGCCTTAATATCTTAATTCTTTGCTGTCCCAGTATGATCGATATGAGGCTTAATGAAACTTTCTTAAAATCTCGGGGACAGAGATTTTATATCTAAAATAGATTTCTGAGCATATCCTGGGGGGACTCTAGTGTTCCTCAGTGTTCATGATGTTCAATGGAAAAATAATTGGCATTAAGAGATTGTCTACTAAAATGTTTTTAATATGTAAAAGAAAAACGTGTGTTAAGTGTTTAACACATTTGTATGGTACTTTTTAGTGTTTAATAACCTGCTTTTAAAAATTTGCTGCACCAGCCCTGAGAATGCACATGACTCAGGAGGTGATGGGTTCTTACAGTGGTTAATTCATCTTTGAGACTTTTGTTCCACATCTATTTTTAATCAAAACATTTATCTTTGTTTTGGGGCAATTTTTAACAGCTTTAGTGAGCCATGATTGATATACATTAAACTACACTTACTTGAAGAGTGTAGTTTGATGAGTCTTGGTGAGCCTTGGTATCACAAGGAAAACACTTGGGATAGTAATACCACATTCAAGGTAATGAATGCATCTATCACCCCTACGGATTTCCTCATGCCTATTTGCAACCCACCCCTCTCTCCATCCCCTCCTTCCCCTGTCCCCAGGCAACTAATCTGGTTTCTGCCACTATAGATTCATTTGCATATTCTAGAGTTTTATATACTCGTGTAGTAGGTGTTCCTTTGGGAGATAGGAGTTAACTTCTTTCACAGAAAACTTATTTTCAGATTCATCCATTATGTTGTGTTTATCAGGAATTCATTCCTTTTTGTTGCTGAGTAGTGTTCCATGGCATACATATATCAAACCATACATGTATGGTTTGTTTACCCATACATGTATCTGTGGACATTTTGGTTGTTTCTAGTTTTCGCCTCTGAAGTTTCTAGTTTTCAACTATTTCAAATATTTGCATACAGCTTCGGAATGGTGTTCTCCCATAGCCACATTCTTGGGTTGGATGTAAAGTCTCTATGTAGACATATGCTTTCTTTCTCTTTGGTAAGTGCTTAGGAACGGAGTGGCCCCAAAACTACCAAATTGTTTGCCAAAGTAAATGAACCATTTTCTATTCCTACCAACACTGTGTGAGAGTTCTAATTGCTTTACATCCATGTCAGCTCTTGGTAGAGTCAGTCTTCAGTGTTAGACATTGTTAGTCTTAGTGGATATGTAGTGGTAGTTCATTGTGGCTTAAATATGTATTTCCCTCATGACTAAAAATGTTGAGCATATTTTTATGTGCTTATTTTCCATGCATATACATACATATATATATATATATATATATATATATATATATATATATATATATCTTTTTTGGTGAAATGTCTCTTAAAAGACCTATCTTAGTAACTAATGTTTGTGTTTTTTAATGCAATATGACTTACTTTTTTAAGTGTTGCAATATGAAATAAATTTAGGAAATGCAGTCCTACAGTGTGTACAAATATATACTTTTGTCCAAAGTTTGGAATCTTTTGACCTCTCTGAATACTAGCTGCATTTGCAACATTGGCTTGCTTGACCAATGGTAGATCTCCATTCCAGTCCATACAGGACGATGTCCTGTGTTTTGAGGAGGTAACTCTGGTAATCGAATGGATAATCGGGTTTTTTTTCCTCCTAGAGGACGAAGGAAGGTCTAAATAGCTAGTCTGTTTGTATGTGTTCTTTATCTCATTTATACAGAATCAGAAATGTGAGTCATCGCCCATGGGGCTCAGCTGTACTGGTCATGAGGAGATGTAAAGTCAAATCTCAAGATGCCCCTCTGGCTGGTTGGATATTATCAATCATTTTAAATTATAAGAATGTTGGCGAGAAGCAGGAAACATGGTGCTCATGTACTATTTAGAGGCATATCAAAGGTGTAACTTTGGGGGAAACAATTTGGTGGTATCTATCAAAATAAAAAAATGCAAAGACCTTTCATCCACAAGTTCAACTGTGTCCTACAAGCACACTCATATGGCACAAAGATATGCATGTGTGTCTGTGTGTAATACATATTTAAAAAAATCCAATGTAATTGTGTTTGAAATAGAAAGAAAAGGGAGACACTACTTAAAGGAAGAGGCATTTGTTGAAAAGGACGGGGTAGATGTGTATATATCGTCATGAAAAAAAAATGTCCAGAATATATGGAGTGAGAAAAATAAGCTTTGGACCATATGAAAATAATTTTATTATTTTTAAATTATGTGTATATGTAGAGCGGGGGTCATACCTTGAGAAGGAGTTAGCTTCAAAAGTCATCAAAAAAGGCAATAATTTATTTATTTATTACCCTTGAAAAACACTCTAACCACTCATCAAGTACCCTAAATATAATTTTGTGTTTATCTGTTTGTGTGTATATAGCCCTGTATATGTTGGTATAAACGTACCATTTAAGTACATTTATACGTACTACTCAGTGCTTTCTCGTTTCTTCCTCTGCGAGCACACATTACAGGGCACACAGTTTGAATTCAGGAAGGTTAAGCGTGCCTGTGTCTCAGCCCCACCTCAGGTCCCAATGCCCAGGAAAGCACATACAGTACTCTGAAGGTTGATTACCTCTGGCGAGAGTGAGATGGTGTGGGGAGAGAGGGAGGAGGGTTTCCTTTTGTACATATACATGAAAAAGAGAAGTGCCCTTTCCTCTTCTGATTGTTGTTCTCTCCTTACTTTCTCCCAAGGAGGACCAGAACCTTCTCCTGGCAGCTGCCTATGTCTCTGATGCCCAGTACAACAGAAATGTTCCATTTGAAACGTCTCCTCGGGCCATCAGGTAAATAAAGTATTAAACTGTCTCCTAGAGCAACCTGTCCTTTAGTACTTACCACGTCTTGAAGTTGAACCCAAACTGAAGACATTGTCTCCACAAACATTTTGAGAAGTCTCTAGGATAAGGCATGGAGATTTGGATAAAATCCTAACATCCAATGCTTTTATTTTTTTTAAGTTATAAGAGCATGGTGTCTCACACATAGGGAAGCACTCAATAAATACATTAAGGACAGATAAATGAGTACTTGACTAACATATAGAGCAGGAGATAGGGCATCTGAAGTGAATCACATCATCCTTTCCTTGTAGATAAGGTTGTCCTCTTAGAGCCACTTAGGCGAAAAGATTTGTTCTTTTTCTTTCTGGTGCCTTCTGATGCAATCTATATATTTGTTCTTTTCGTAAGAATCATGCCTTTTCTCTCCCACCCCCTGAATGTTGAACTAAGACCAAAGATTTGGCTCAAAATAAGGAGAAAACATCAGGGCTCCGTGCCAGTGCCTCCAAAGCAACGAACAGACTCACGCCTCATTCCTGGAAGCTTCGAGCAGGTTGGGGAGACTGTCCCCCACCCCTAGGAAGAGAACTGTGTGACCACAAGATCTCTCTGAATCTACCATATTGAGATGGGGTGGTGCACATTTAAATTGGTTAGGCTACCATGCCACAGCATAATAGGTCACTTTAACTGAGGGTTTACTGTGCATCAGTCACCGTTCAAAGTCCTCTGAAAGTATTCTTTTTATTACGGTCACAACCGCTATGCAGGAGGTACTGATCATAGCTTGAGACACTTAAGAGACTGTGGTTTGAGATGCGATACTATTGTTGCCTTTTTTTTTCTGTTAGTGTTTTCTAATGTGTGCTCAATTCAGTGCTGTCCCTTGCTCCCTAAGATTTAAAGGAAATGTGACCAGAGCCCTATTTTGTATTTTGCCCACCGTTAGTCTTTTGGTGGGAAGTGTGAGTTTTGTTTAACTCCTGCTCCTTGTATATAAACACCTTTATTCTTTTCATCTTCAGACTTTACTATTTTTATAACCACTGGACAATGCAAGTAGCCATCTACTTCTTTATTTGTGTCGACCTCTCTCTCGCCCTGTTTGAAGAACCGGCACTGTTTCCCCTGCCTTTCTTGGTAAGGATTAAAAACAAAATGGCTAACCAGACTTTGTCATTGATGAGTTGGGCCCCATGCCTTCTTCCTTTTTTTTTTTTTTTCCCCCAAATTTCAATAAATACGAGTGTGGTTTTCTTTTATTATTGTTTTAAAATGTTTGTTTATTTTGAGAGAGAGAGAGAGAAAGAGAGAGAGGGCGCTTGTCCGCACCTGTGTGTGCACAGGGGAGGGGCCAAGAGAGGGAGACAGAGAATCCCAAGCGGGCTCCTTACTGTCAGTGCAGAGCCCGACTCTGGGCTCAAACTCAAACTCGTGAACTGTGGGATCATGACCGGGGCCAAAATCAAGAGTTGGATGTTTGCCTGACCGAGCCACACAGGTGCCCTGGATGAGGTTTTATTTTCATTGCTGGGGTTTGTTTGGAAGAACTCTGCCTACTCGCTGAGCTGATGCTTCCGTGTTAATTATAAGGCATTTTAAATTTTTTTTTTTTCAACGTTTATTTATTTTTGGGACAGAGAGAGACAGAGCATGATGGGGGAGGGGCAGAGAGAGAGGGAGACACAGAATCGGAAACAGGCTCCAGGCTCTGAGCCGTCAGCCCAGAGCCCGACGCGGGGCTCGAACTCACGGACCGCGAGATCGTGACCTGGCTGAAGTCGGACGCTTAACCGACTGCGCCACCCAGGCGCCCCATATAAGGCATTTTAAATGGAGTAGAGGTTTTTGTCTTCTGTGTCCGCAGGGATGAATTGGGTAGACAAATGATATTTTCAGAGCGTATCCATGAAAGGGCGAGTAGACAATGTCATAATTTAGTGTGATACGCAACTTGTACGTGCCACGTTTCCAGCTTTTTTTTCATAGTCCTAAATCACTGTTTATTGGCACTTAGCAGCTGGTCACGTACGGTTTTGAGTAATCGCATCAAATTCACCAGCTACTCCGGCTCGGTCCAAGTATGAAATTGATGATCCACTCATGTTAATTTCCCGACTTGATGCTGCCCCTGCAGTTGTCGCAGAGACTGGGTGCCTGGCAAGGCCCAGAATATCTACGGTCTGGTCCTTCAACAGATAAAGTTCACTGACCCCTATCTTTATTACCTCCCCTGATTCTGTGGGTAACTGGGCCCAGGCCGGAAAGATTTCCTGCTCCTGTGTCGTTAGCTGGGGTAACAATATCTGGAAGCTCCGTGGATCTCTGGAGCCTGGCAGGGGCTGCTGGCCGCGCGCTGGGAGCTTGCCTGGCTGGAGCCGTGGACCAAGTGCCCTGCTGTGTTACGAAGCTGCTGCCTGTGGTGTAGGTTTCTCCCAGTGGGGGAGGAACAGGGCCAAGCAGGAGCATCCGAGTGTACAAGCCTCCACTTCCGTCAGCTCGTTGATGTCCTCTCGGCCAAAGCCCCTGAGATGCCGGAGCCCCGAGTTAACATGGGAGGACGCTGCATACGGGGCTGAAAACTGGGAGCATGGTTCACCGGGGGCCACCAAAGTGATGGTGTAACACACTTCTGTATGATGAAGAGGCTACAATTAGTGAAGTCTCTGCATAGAAAACTTGTAGCCCAGTGACTATCAAAACAAACCCCAGAGTTGGGAGAAGCAGAGCTGTGCATTCAGAGACCCAGACAGTCAGTCCCTCCCTAGCACGGCTCACTCTGGACGCGATGAGACTTCCCTGGGGTTGTCTGCTCAGCCCCTTGCCTCTCTTCCCGAGTCCTCACCCTTCTGTTTGTTTTTGGTCACGTACAGCTTCAGGTTGGCTGAGTTCAGGGTGCTCCTTCAGCCGGTGTTTGGACGTCTGGTCTCTAGAATCGAATGTGTCATGGGGGGGCTTTGGCCCAGATGCAGCATTACCAAGCACATCTTATTTTGAGCAGAGGTGTCCTGGAATTGCCCCAGACCCTGTTGCAAGCCTGGCCTTGACAGGGAGTCTCTAGAGTCCTTCGAGGATGAATAGGCTGAGGGCTAGACGGTTCGGAAGCGGCTGTAGCCCATGTCCACGCCCAGGACCCATGAAGGCTGGGGTGGGGAGGGGAAGACTGTGTCAAGTGCTGCTTTCAGGGCCCAGTCTCCCCATCTCTTCGTACTGTGGCACCCTCCTCACCCCCTGATGAAGGCAAGTGTCCTTGTTGGGGCGGAGTTACCGCCTCAGGGAATCACAGGAAAGCCCGGGCTTCCATCACAGGCTGCCAGTCTAGCTGCCTGTAGGGATTTTGGAGCTGGTGTCCTGTAACCTACAGAGGAGACGGTCAGGACTTGGCACTGGGTCTCAGTGGCCTCCCTTCTTTCCTCTAAACCAGCCACACACGGGCGGAGGGCGGCAGTGGCACTGATGGCTAAGGAATGACCCACATCTCAAAACACGTCTTTGGGAGGTTACTCTCCTGTTAGAGAAACTGAACTTCTAGATGCCTTTTGTAAATATGAACTTGAAATTGGAGAGCACAGAAGATGCCTGTGTCTGCCGTCCCAGACCTCCTGTCTTCTGGGGAAATGCCTTCTGGGTGCCCTGCCTGCTGATCCAGCCCCTCCCAGGAAGCCCTCCCTGCCTGTTGGGTCATGGGATTCGTGACTCAAGGGCAGGTTTCCTCTTAAGAGGAAGAAACCATTCCAACTAGCACAGAATTTGACTGCAATTTGCCGCAGTCAAAAGGGACAGTGCTAATTCTTAGAGGGGGCATCAAGGTGGCTTGGGGGGCTGGGAGGGTTGTGAGAGAGCTAAAGCTGAACCTCCAAGAGGCGGGGCGCTGTGTTTAGTCTCTGTTTTCTCTGTGCAGGCTACCTCGTTAGCAGAAGTACTCTGTCTGACTGCATTCTTTGGGAGACTTGTACATTTTGCAAAAGTCACTCCTCAAATGGTTTTCTGGAAGGATACGAAAAACATCTGCATCATGGTAACCATTGTGGTGAGTGCTCATTATAGTACCCTGAAGATTTTGTGGTCAAAGGCAGAAACTATGAAGACAAAAGCCTGAATAGATTTGATCTGGTTAAAGCAACAATGACAGACGTCGGCACAGCAAACACCATTAGCACAAATGCAAGCGGACCCCAAATGAAGAACAAACAGGGCAACGTATGACAGTGCGAGTGCTGTGTTTTAACATAGCAAGAGCACTTGTAAATTAAAAGGGGGGAAAAAAAAAGGCCCCCCCAACAGGGCTGAAAATAGGTGAAGGCATCTCTTAAAAGAAAAATATAAATAATGGCAGATAATGAAACAATGTGTAACTTCACTAATTCAGAAATATATATCAAAACAACAATAAAATACCATGTGTGTGCCTATAAAACAGCGTTAGCAAGATGGAGAGGAAACAGAACCCCTGATACCCTCCTGGAGGGACGAGTAAGCTGTCTTTCTCGAAGGCTGTTTGGCAGTTCTTTGAAAAGCCTTAAAGGTGCTTACACTTGCACCCTGGAGTTCTATTCCTGGGACTTCATCGTTAGGAGAGAAGGATGTGTTCAGAGGTTTAGCTACAAGATTGGTCCATGGCTGAACCGTTCCTGATACTGGAAAAACTGATAACAACGTGATTTCCCGACAATAGATATGTGTTAGATGAAACGCGGCACATCCACTCAGCCCTTTGTAAACTAGTGTGAAAGCGACAAATGTCTATTACCAAGGCGAAGTGCTTACCATTCATGAAGCCAAAAGAACCAGTTACCACAGAGCCGGATCACGGTTTTGTTGCAAAGAAAAAAAGGAAAGAATGGTACGCATTCACAGAGAGATCTGGGAGGATATATGCTAAGCAGTCAGGCCAAGAGGGGCAGGGTAAGGAATTCCGAAAGGCTGCTGTTAGGGGCAGAGAGGCCCCTTCAGTGATTAGCTAAGGGTACTTGATAATTAGCTTCTTACCGACCGCAGCAGCCGGCTCGCCTGAACCCTCATTCTTTCCAGTTCACCCACGGCTCAGTCTGCACGCCCCTAAGCCGTCCATTCTCAGAGCCCTCATGAACACTCCTAGGTAGGGGTCCCCGTGCTGTAGCCGATACTGGTTTCCCCTCTGAGTTTCTTTTGCCTGTGGCCCGCTGCTCGCCAGCCGTTTCTACATCTGTGTGTCAACGCAAACACAGTGGGACGAAACCCACGCCCTTTCACCCCTTGCCTCCCCTGGCTGTTTGCTTGCCGGTGGTGCCTTACGTCCCAACACCCAGTACCACGTCCTCCTAGTCCAGATTCTCCCCCCTCTCGCATCTGGCCTCCCCAGGGCCCCTCAGGACGCCTCTTGCCCTGTTTCATTCTCCGCACTTGGACTATCGCAGTCGTCTCTGATGTGGCCACACGCTGTCTCTTTGTTGCACGCCATTCTGTTCCCACGTCGTGGCACAGGCCCTGGTCACCCCTTTTGGGAACTGTCGTGGTCACCTCCCCCTCAGATGCCCGATACGTGCATTTTAGATGCTGCCGCGGGATTAATTCTCCGGAAGCACGTCTCAGATCACTTCGCTCCCTTGCTGGAAAACGTCTGTCAGCGCCCCAAGACTATTCAGTGCCCTCCAGTCCTGCAAACGTGCTTCACTCTAGCTGGACTGAGTTGCCTGCTGCCCCACGCATGTACCACCCGCTCCTCCCCTGCCTGCGGTGGCTCTTTTTTGGCTGGAATGTCCACTGTCTTTCCTCACCTTGTTCTACATACGTAACTTGACTTCCCTTCCCACATCTGCTGAACCCTCAGAATATGCAGACTACCTCTCTGTACTTTTCTTATTTTTAGAAATATTTTCTGCTACTGAAAAGAAATATAGGCGCACTGTGAGTGTCTAAATATAGGTACCTGTGAGCACAGGCTTGGGTTCAGTCCGTGACACCATGCTGCCTGATGCAGGACGGCGGGGGGACGGGGTGGGAGGGGAAGGAGGAGGCTATTTCTGGAAGAAAGAAATCCAAACAATACAGACTGTATAAAACAGAGGAAGACACTCCTGCTAATCTCCTCCAAGGAGACTGTGTGTGTCTTCCACGACCCTGTCTGCGGCTTGGCCCCTTACTAGGCCCCTTACTTGGCCCCTTACCTCTTCATCTCCTAAAACTCCTAGCACAGTGCCTCAAGTACGTGGGCGTGCAGGCACTCATAAAATTTAAGTCCCATCACTGTGCTCCCCTGCTTCAAATCATCCAATGCTTTCCATCTCCCGTCCCAGAAAAGCTGAAGTCCTTATTGTGGCGGAAGCTCTGTGTGCCCCCTTCATTATTGCCCGCCCCCACCCCCGCCTTGTCCACCCTCCCCGTCTCCTGCTCTCTCCATGCATGCTGGCGCTGCCTTAGGCCTCCCTTGCGTGCCCTTTGCCTCATCCGGGTTTTCTCCAGAGCATGGACCACCACCTGTCGCAGAGCGTCTTTATCATCAGCACCGTTCTTCCCTTCTGGAATGTGCGCTTTGTGAGGGCTGGCACCTTCCGCCTGGCTCTCACTCTGCCTCTAGAGCTACAGTGACACCCTGCACTAAGGGGCATTCTGTGACTGAAAGAGTATGGCGTGAATTGAATGAGGGCGTTCTCTTGCCTTGTCCGGGTCTTTCCTCCATCTGTCGCTGGGGCGATTTCACTCCTTTGCCTTCGTCGCCCTTATTTGAAAGACTTCCGAGGCTCTCCAGGCCCTGGGAATAAGACTCACCTTTTCAGCCTGGTTCTCGAAGCCATTTGCCATTAGTCCTTGTCACTTCCTGCCTCGTCTCCCCCCCACCCTCGGGACCCTTGGCTTCCCAGACGTGCCAGGACAGCTCCTCCCTGAGAGTCCCTTTACTATGTCTTCCTGCTGTGGCCCTTGATTTTTCTGAGTTTTGTTCTTTTAAAATGTTTATTTCTTTTGAGGGGAGGGTCAGACAGAGAGGAGAGAGAGAATCCCAATGCGGGATCATCACAGCACAGAGCCCAACGCGGGACTCCCATCTCGTGAACCGTGAGGCCATGAACTGCACTGACATCAAGGGTCAGACTGAGCCACCCGGGCGCCCCCTGAGTTTTATTCTTTCAAGACTCTGGCGCCCGGGTGGCTCAGTCAGTTAAGAGAGGCCGATTCTTGATTTTGGCTCACGTCACGATCTCACCGTTTGTGAGTTCAAGCCCCACGTCAGGCTCCGGGCTGACAGTGTGGAGCCTGCTTGGGATTTTCTCTCTCTCCCTCCCTCTCTCTCTTTCTCTCAAAAATAACAATAAATAAACTTAACAACAGCAACTAACCTCTATCTTTTTTTTTTTTAATTTTTTTTTCAACGTTTATTTATTTTTGGGACAGAGAGAGACAGAGCATGAACGGGCGAGGGGCAGAGAGAGAGGGAGACACAGAAACGGAAACAGGCTCCAGGCTCCGAGCCATCAGCCCAGAGCCTGACGCGGGGCTCGAACTCACGGACCGCGAGATCGTGACCTGGCTGAAGTCGGACGCTTAACCGACTACACCACCCAGGCGCCCAACAAACCTCTATCTTTGCTTTAAGATTACATGAGGGAGTGCTTACCCAGGAAGCCTCCTCCAGCACCGTAACCTTTGGTGATCTGCCTGTCCCCACCCTCCCCTGGACAGCCACGATAGTTCCCTCCTGCCAGCGCCCAGGGCACCAGGTTCCTTCCATGGCTGCATCCCATCTCCGCCCCTGTGTCGGATCTCACTGGGTCCTCTGTGGCTTGCTGAATTAACACTTTTGACCATGGAGGTTATTCTTTTTAACTTACATCTCCCTAAAAATACACTGGGTTCTTCTTTTGCCCTGTTCTTAGGTGATCACGAACCTGACAATAAGGATCAGGATTTTCTTACCTCTGTTACCAGGCTAGACAATTTTATACGTCAAATTGAAGAAAAGTTAAAGCTAATTAGGATGTAGTGTGGAAGCATGTAACTGTGCAGGTAACCGCATGGGCTCTGACGTCAGACTGCGTGGGTTCCAGGGTTGGCTCTGCCTCCTACTAGCTGTGTGACCAGGGCCACAGGCTCACCCTCTCTGTGCCCCGAGTGTCTCCATCCAGGAATAGTGGCCACCTTAGGGGTGTGGTCAGGATAACATAGAATAATTACAGAAGGTGCTTTTTGTACTTCACGGCACATAATAAACAGCTACTTTTAATGTTATATCACACAACTAGAATTATCCTGTTTATGGAACTTGCTTTGTGACCCCTCTTCCTGGTCGGTGAGCATGCATCCCCACCATCACTTTCTCTGTCCTGGGGCAGTGTGGCACTGACCTCTCTGTCCCATGTCTCTCACAGCTGACCTTGATTGATCTGATTATCTATGGGTCCCTGGAAGCTGTGAACGTCCACAGCGTCCGATGGTCAAGGGTCTTAAGACCAGTCTTCCTAATTAACTTCCCTGAAAGTCGTCAGGTAAGGAAGGATATACTTTAGGATATGCAAAGGCTTGACTTTTGTTTTTGCAGAAAATTAGCCGATTCTTGTAAACGAAATGAAAATTTTGTCATCACAGATCCGAAGAACTTTCAGAAGCATCCGGAACACTCTGCCCGATATTCTCTACGTCTTCCTCCTGTTTATGTTCAGTGTGCTGATATTCTCCCTTATGGCCTTGAAGCTTTTTGGGGATAGGTGAGCACGCTGCTCTGGAAGTTTCTGCTTGTGAATCCCGCCCCGCCTCCCCCCCGCACCCCCACCCCCCTTCAGGTTCAGCCTGTTGGTGGCAGAATCTGTCACCGGGTGCCATCTTCCTCGTTCAAACACTCCAGGAGTGCTTCTGGAAGGGGAAAAGTGTATCAGAAACCACAACCTCACTTACGTGTGTGTGTTTTTCACTTTGTGTTCTTGGTTCCTCTTTAGGGGTCTTAAAACAGTGGAAGGATTGCCCTACTTCACAAATATCCTGGACATAGTGTTTGAGCTCTACGTGCTGGTCACTACCGCGAACAGCCCCGATGTCATGTACGTCCATCTTGGCCCATGTTCACGGATAGACACCTGTTACCAGGACAGAATTCGCCTTGTTAAAGGCAGCTGTCTCCAAACACCAGCAGGGCTGAGAGGGGGGAAATAGTGATTTTCCGTTTATTCATGTTCGTGTAAAAATTTTTGAAGGATGTAAAATGTTTACGCTAACAATAGCCTACCCTGTCTATCTAAAACTAAGCTTAGATGATTTTTTTTTTTTTTTTTAAAAAGCTGAAAGCAGCAGGAGATATCTCTTGAGATACCACTCTTAAATATGGGAGCCTACTTTCTATTCGGGATTTTTTTGCGTCTTGAATTTAAACAGCTAAGCCATCTTTCGAAAGGAATCGTGGCTCGTTCTCCCAAGCATTGATGCGCCTTTGTGGTTAGGTGAGACAGGAAAGGAATGCAGAGGTTAGTAGTTGTTGCCTTCCCCTTCTCAATGCCAGTTCTCCACACACGTGGACTTCACTTAGGAGGAAAACATCATGTATTTTCTTTCCTAACGTCCTTCATATTATGGATTAAGCTTGTTTGGGGAAGTAAAATTATTAAAGAGTGCCACACTGAGTAGATACCCCTTGGGGTCTAGGGCATGGACAAGGCTCAATGCGAGTGTCAATCCCAGCCAGGCCATACTGCACTTCGGGGCAGGGCGGGTTTTTTTGTCCTCTAGTTCTGTGTGGGATCATCATATCGACTTGCTCTGGCTTGTTGCTCACTCTTGGGCCTGGCTCGGGACAAACATATGCAAGGGAAAGTTCTGGCCCTCCTTGTGTGCTCTTGGATCTTTCTCTCAGACCCTGGCCATGCCAGTGCCTCCAACACCCCCTCCTGTATGAAATCCAGTGTCTACTGAAGGTGGAGTGAGCACACACACCTGATTTATGCCTCTCACCCTGGTGCCATTATTAATGGTGCTCCTTTCTTTCTCATTGTCCCAGAGTGGCTAGAAAATTATCTGCCTCCCCTGCCCCCCCCCCCACAACAAGGCAGTCTGGTGTCCCCGAAGAGCCTTGAGTATAAACCCAAGCCACGCTTCAATTCCTTCTATAGTCCTGGGCAAGTCGGTCTCCTTTCTTAGGCTTCGATTGTGAAGCCACAGTGAGGCTCCCTCAGTGTGAAGGGAAGGGATGGGATCGGGAGATCGCCAAGGTCCTACTTACTTTGAAAGCTGCTGCCTCGAAAAGGCACTAAGAAATTCAGAAGGCCAGCTGTTCAGCGCTAGGGGCGGTGATGGCTTTGCGACCCCATCACACGGGACCGCGCCATATGGGGGGGGAGTCTGAGTGAGAGAAGCTTTTGCCGTGCCCCGTGCCCGTGGGTTGTCCATGTGGGATGGCAGCTGAGGTCAGCCTTTTATGCACTAAGGACCTAGGCTGTGAAAAACCGTGCAACATAATTCTGTCCTTCTAGGATGCCTGCCTATAACTTCAATTGGTGGTACTGTCTGTACTTCATAACCTACACCATCATCAATACCTACATCTTCATGTCCGTCTTTCTGGCCGTGGTCTACAACAATTATAGGAAGCACTTAAAGGTAAGGTGCATGAGCGGAAGCGGGGTGGGGGCGGGCGAGGATAGGCACGCGGGCTGGGTGCCGTGCCAGGGAGGCCGGCAAACGCATTGGTTCAATATTTGAAAGGGTGCTTTTTCTTTTCGCTTTGGCCAATCTGAAGACTTATTTGGTGTCTTTGCTCTATTCTGCTGGCGTGGGTGGTTCTTTACCATTCTTTGCAATGGGTCTGACAGTGTTTCTGAATTTTATGTACAGTGGCAGGCTATTGCTTTACTCATTGCTTTTAAGGCATTCAATTGCTCATGGTTCCTGGAAAGGTTTTGTTAAGAATGGGGGTTGGGGATGTTCTCCAAGCTTCCACTCCTTTTTGCCTCTCCAGCAAAAGCAGAAACTTCTTAAAGCCAGCGGTTTCTGCCCCGGTGCCTGCCTGTTAGATTTACGTCTGGAGAATTCCTGGAGGCGTTGGGTGGGCGGAGGCTTCTGAGTCCTTGGGGGTGGAGGATGTTTTATTTACAGCCTGGAATCCACCAGGCTGCCTCAGCCACATCACCTGCCCGCCCTCCACTGCACATATCTTTGCTGGGTTGTTTTTTCTTGTAAAACTAGTTGCACAGGGAAGCTTTTCACCAAAGGATGATTTTCCTGAAGGGAAGACATTGGCTTTTGGCTTCTGATCCTTTTGGTTCTGTTCTGAATTTTTCATTGCATAGGGAGGGTCCCACCGGGGAGCAAGGAGAAATTCAGGGAGAACTTGAATGTTTGCAACTATGGAGAAGCAGGTGGCGGGGCTGAGCCTGTTGGTGGCAAAATGGCCTTTGAAGGTGACTGGCTTGTCCACATCCTGAGCAGTCTGTGTACTGCTGGGACTTGAGCTGCTCCTGCCCCAGAGGCCAGGCCTCCCAGAGACCCTCCTATCTCAACTTCCTCCCTCTGGGTGGAAGGAGGTTGTCCCAGAGAGTCTGGTGTGCTTCTCCTCTTTTTTTGCTGCTGGGCAGAACTGCTGCTGTACCTCCCCCAGCCCCAAGGAGGTGTTTCTTTGGGTAATCTTCTGCAACAGGGATCAGTCAGCAAACGTCTTAAATGTGCTTTAGGTGCCCAGCACCACACAAAATTCTGAGGAGTCAAAAATGATTAAGACACAGCCCACACACCCCTCTGGGGTGCCTGGGTGACTCAGTCGGTTAAACGTCGGACTTCGGCTCAGGTCATGATCTCATGGCTCGTGAGTTCGAGCCCCGCGTCAGGCTCTGTGCTGACAGCTCAGAGCCTAGAGCCTGCTTTGGATTCTGTGTCTCCCTCTCTCTCTGCCCCTTCCTGCTTGTGCTCTGTGTCTCTGTCTCAAAAATAAATAAACATCAAAAAAATTAAAAAAAAATTATAGTCTAGCTGTGTAATCAATTAAGTGATGACAGTACTACGGGGAGCAAAAAGTGTGGGCATCAGGTGGCTGATTGTAACCCGAGGAGGGCTGTGCAGCAACCCCCACCCCCACCCCCCCACCCCCGCTTCTGGAAGATTCCCTGTGCTCAGGCCAGATGGCAGCTCCGGGCAGGCCCTGCTGTCTTTCCTGCCTTGGACCTCTTCCTTCCGGACGACTCCTGGCCTAGTTTCACTTCCCTGACTTTTCTCCTCCTCCCTTCTCTTTCTTGATTGACTTAACGGTAGATCTATCTTCTCCCTGTCTGGGGTCTCCCTGTGTCTCAGCAGCACACCCGATTTCCTTCCTTTCTGGAAGCTTCCTTCCTCCTGGGCAGAGTGGAGTTGGGACCAGTCTGCCTCCTGCTGCTCTGTTTCTCACCACACAGATTATCCTTCACGGGCTCCCTCATTTGAACTTGGTAAGATGAGTTCTGTTTATGCAGACGGGTCAGCTGTGTGTACCTGCAGCCGGGGAGGGATTACGTACCCGGCATGTTAAGAGACCCAGCGGGGCCTTCTCTTTGGCTGTTTAATTACCTTGAAATGTTTAGGGTAAAGAAACAAGGCTTTCTTGAATCTTTCTCTGAAAAAACACAATTCTATTTTTTAAAGAATGAGATTCGCAAACTGGCGTACCTGAAACGTCACAAAATGATAGAGGCGTTCAACATTCTGAAAGTCAAGGTGGGCACAGAGTTTGTGGTCATGGAGGCCCAGTGGAGGCGGCTGGCCAAGGTCGTGGCACCACACATCAGCGGTCCCCACCTGGAGCTCCTCTTGAGGATCTCCGACGAGGGACAGAAGGGGCACGTGGGTAAGAAGGTTTGGCCGCCGACATTCCTCTTGGCTGTGTTCAGAGCGGGCAACTCCTGGGGCACCTGGGGGGCTCAGTCGGTTGAGCATCCGACTCTTGATTTCGGCTCAGGTCATGATCCCAGGGTTGTGGGATTGAGCCCCGCGTCAGGCTCTGCACTGAGCGTGGAGCCTGCTTTGAGTTTCTCTCTCTCAACCCCCCACTCGTGCTCTCTCTCCAAATTAAAAATAAATAAATTTTTAAAGAAGTGGGTGGCTCCTAAAAGTGATTCGTAAAACAGCAGTACTGTTTTCTTGTTTTCCTAAATTTGCAAATAAAAATGTGTATTGGCACTCCCCGCTGGCAATAATCCAGTGGAATTCGGGCCCTCAAAGCTGTGTTCGGACAGGGCTGTCCCCGTGGGAGTTGTCACCATGAGCCATCCCAAAGCCTTTACCTTGTAACGGTCATTCCACCACTGACTCTGCTTTAGGGACAGAATCTAAAATCAGAAGAGAGCTGTGGAAAGAAACATCTACATTGCATTCCATATTTGAAAGTAAAAGGTTGAAAGTAGCCTAAAATTCATGTATTAATGGTCGGTGGCTATTATGAATAACACTTCCTATCTATGGCATGCTTATCGTGTGTGAGCCATTGTCATGATTGTTTCCTGCACGTGGTGTGTACGTGATCCTCCCCCTGACTCACTGAGGGGGGGATTTTTGTGATCCTCATTGGTCAATGTGGAGACTGAGGCTGGGAGAGGTTAAGCAGTTTGCCCAAGGCCATGCAGCTGCAAAGTGGTAGAGGCCATCTGACTCCAAGGCCCATGTTTTGCATCATTGTGCTAAACCGCCCCAGATTCCGATAGTCACATAATGGAAAATTTTGGCGACATTAACAATGACTGTGAAGATAAGACAGCAATTCAGAAAGATGTGAGGTGACTAAAATACATCCCAAACTGTGAAGCACCCTCATTTCACCTGTTTCAAGAGAAGTCTAGATGGAAACCCACCAAAAGGGAGCGGTAAGTGTGACAGGATGTAAATTTACATGAGATGAGGACTCTCAGACTAGTCCCAGAGGAGCCATAGGCTTCCTTAGGGCTCTGTGCACGCGTAAGAAGGAAAGCACAGTGATTTTCTGGAACTTACGTGCAAAAAGGAGAATGAAAAGACGCGTGTAGTAAGATACCGCTAAATGGGTGGTACCCACGTCTTCCAGTGAGAGTTTTGGACCTTGGCTGGAGGAAGGCCTTTGCCCTCTTGAATTAGCAGGATTTGGCTTCCTGCTGAGCCCTGAGCATGTCTCCTCAGCCACCAGCTCGAAGTTGTGGCTCTGAGTGCCTGGTCAGGAGCCAGGCTTCTCAGAGCCCGAATGACTGCCTTGGTGGCCCCCGTTAGGGACCGGTGGTGGTTGCCTGTGCCCTTCAGCATGCCGGGATTAGGGTTCTGCTAATGGTGGCGAAGGGTGACTGGTCCCCGGGCAACCCCTGAGCACAGTGCTTTTTCATGTCCAACCTGCCATGGACTGATAAACAGCAAAAATCAACACTCAGAAAAATGAAGTTACAAAGTGTAAAGTCCAAGTCCCATTTTTTCATCATTAGAGTCCGTGGACAAGATCCTGGCAATTGTTCTACAAGTTTCTGTATTCAGCACTTACCCCACAGAGGGTGGGGAAGACACGGACAGGGCCAGCTGTGGCCCAGGGACATCTGTTTGAGGACTACTACTCTTGACCTTAGAAGAGAGGGTTGGGACTTGGGTCCCCTTGGAGGTCCCACCCCACAACCGGGGTGGAGTGGCTGGTCAGTTCAGTCCAGGTGTTCCCAGACTTCGGCCCCTCTGGTGTTGAGAATTCTTCCCTGATGGTTTAGTAGCTTTGCTGCTTCTCGATGATTGGGACTCTGAACATGTTGATGAATCTTCAGGGCTTTCTCAAATTTCTTTGCAATTCCTTCTGTAAAGTGAGTTCCTGGATTGCCATTGAAAGGTGAGGTGTTCCAAACCTAGGGCTGGGGGCTTTTCGAAGTCTTTGTCTGTCAGGCATGGGGAGGCCTATGCACTTGGGTATCGCCTGCTCATCCAGAAAAGATACACATGGTCACTAGGACATACACGAACGTTTCTTTGTTGATAAAGTCAGTCCAACTATTGGTAGTTGTTTCCCAAGTGGGAGTACGAACTGCTTTTCTTTGTCTTGACAGCTTCTTCCATGTTCTGGGCTATAAATAGGCTGGCTTTTAAACGATACCATTCAGCTGTGGCAGGGTAAATATGGAGCTTACCAAACACATCCAAGTTCTAATGGCACCCCTACTTGTTTGGATGTATCATTCCATGAATTACATGAGGAAGAGGAGGGAGGAGCTCTTTGATGCTCCCGCACAACTTTCTGGAGAGTGCCAGTGAAGATCTGTGTACAAAACACCACCGCCACCACGTGTCCATCGGCAGAGGCTCTCCTCCGAATGTGGGTTGTGATCTGGCACAGGGTGAGGTCTGTAAGAGTTACCAAAGGAGGCCGGTCAGGGACAAAAGGGAGCAGAGGAAGGGAACAGAGGCATGGCCAAAGCCTGCTGTGCTGTAGAATGTTTTCAGGCTGGCCAAGGACAGCCATAGCAAGGGGAATGTGTGGACCACTTGACATTATAACTCTTCCAGAAGTGAGAGGCCTCACGTCTTTCCAGGGGTCCACAGTCATCCTTGAGATAATGGAAGTCAGTAGAAGTGTTGCAGACTTGTGAGAAATAAGAGAATCTCCTCGGGAAAGGGCTCCAAATCCAGCTCCCTGGGGCAGAATATAGAGATGGAAATGACCAACCTTCCCTACCTCATGCGAAGAGTATAATGGGCCTGTTGTGAATTTTATCTATTCATGTTAATGTTCATGGCATACACATATAGTCAATACCAATGAATATGCTTAAATGCCAGTGTGATTTGAAGCTTGAAAACTCTTTTTTATAGAATGATGTAAGACAATTATTATATAACATTTTAATGTGGGTGTTCTGAAGAACAAATATATTTATACATAGGGACATAGCGTTTTAATTTCTTTGGAAGTCTTTAGGTAAATCCAGACTCTTGGCTATTTATCTCAACATTCATTAGTCCAATGCCCCCAATTCAATTAGTGACTTTTTTTTTTTTTTTTGAGAGAGAGAGAGAGAGAAAGAGCTAGAGAGAGAGAGTGCAAGCTGGGGAGGGGCAGAGAGAGAGGAAGACACAGAATCAATCGGAAGCAGGCTTCAGGCTCTGAGCTGGCAGCACAGAGCCCGATGTGGGGCTCGAGCTTGTGAATCGCAAGATCATGACCTGGGCCGTAGTCAGACGCTCAACCGACTGAGCCACCCAGGCGCCCCTAGAAAATACATTTAAGAAACCATAAGTAGTTGATCCACTACTGCTGATATTAAGGATTTGTCAGAGAAGTAAAAACTCTACATGCTGTGTCCACATAGCTGAAATGAGTTACTCTACAGGGCCTTGTGATTTCTTTATTTATTTGATGTTTATTTTTAAGAGAGAGACAGTGTGAGCAGGGGAGGGGCAGAGAGAGAGGAAGATACAGAATCTGAAACAGGCTCCAGGCTCTGGGCTCGAACCCACGGACTCTGAGATCATGATCTGAGACAAAGTCGGATGCTTAACCGACTGAGCCACCCAGGTGCCCCAGGGCCTTGTGATTTTCAATATTGTGTGAGATTTACACAAGTTGATTGCTGAAGATCCAACCTTTAAAACCACAACAGTTTATATTATGCCACATGGTTCTAACCCATGGTTAGATTTATGAACACCTAGATATTAACTGAGATCATGGCACCCACCGACCTATAAGATAAGGATGAGGGGTGTGAGAAGTTCCAGCCATTTTAGCCTCTTTGGAGAAAAGAAATTTTACATGAACTAAAATGCCATATTTGCAGTTTTTGTTTACACTGAATAAAATCAGGAAAAAGACATGAAGCCACATTTTAAACCCTAAATCATAAAACAACTTAGTCTACTAGCTTTTCTTTATTGGGAGCATTAAGTCAATTTGGATTAAGATTTTAAATTGTTTTAGTTTGATTAATGAAGTAATTTTATAATGTTTTAAGTTTTAGTCAGATGTCTTTAGATTTAAACTTTTTAACCAGATCTTTAAAATGTATCTTTTTTAAATTAAAAAAAAAAACAAATAGGGGCGCCTGGGTGGCACAGTCGGTTAAGCTGTCACTTTCAGCCAGGTCACCATCTTCGTCCAGGTTCGAGCCCCTCGCTATTGGCTCTGCTGATGGCTCGAGCCTGGAGCCTGTTTCCGATTCTGTGTCTCCCTCTCTCTCTGCCCCTCCCCCGTTCATGCTCTGTCTCTCTCTGTCCCAAAAATAAATAAACGTTGAAAAAAAAAATAAAAATAAAAAAAACAAATAAATTATAAACTATAAAATGAAATAATAAAAATAAATAAAATGTATCTTTTTACCAAAAAAATAATAATAATGAAGGTTATTCCCACCATGGACTCTCTGCAATTAACTAACTGTGGCTCTATTGTGAATTGCACATCTTTGTAAAAAAAAAAAAAATTTAACTAGGTGCAGGCACTAAGGACAGTAACAAAGGACGTTTCAGTCTGAGTTTCTTAAAAAATTATAGAAATGCTATTTAAATTAATAGTTCATTGTTTTATATATTTTATGATCGTAGGGGCCGGACTTTATAAACCAGTTTGTTAATTGGGGGTTGTATTTGGAAGACACATCTGTCAATCAGGCAGAGAATCATCTTAAGATTGGTTCACATAATATTTAATTTCTCTAGCATTTTTAATATATTTGTGCAAGCTAAGAATTTGTCACAGGTTTTGTTAGAAGAAGAAAAGGCAATCGTGGAGCCGAACGCCCTGTCTCCTACCAGGGTGTTTTTTGTTTATATATGGTTTATTTTTAAGGGATAGCACATTTCAAGCGTAACGAATTTTTCACTGATTTCTTTTTTTTTTTAATTTTTTTTTTTTAACCTTTATTTGTTTTTGAGACCGAGAGAGACAGAGCATGAACAGGGGAGGGTTCTGAAACAGGCTCCAGGCTCTAAGCCATCAGCACAGAGCCCGACGCGGGGCTCAAACTCACGGACCGCGAGATCACGACCTGAGCCGAAGTCAGACGCTTAACCGACTGAGCCACCCAGGCGCCCCACTGATTTCTTCATCTTTGGAGGATTCTTAGGCCTCTATTCGGAATTTAAGGAATGACGTGTTTGCCTTAAAACAACGAAATTAACAATCCATTGGGAAATGTTTCCCTGCGGGGTCGGCAGCACTACCACACGCCGGGCGGCTTAAACCACAGAAATTTATTTCCTCACGATTCTGGAGGCTGGAGGTCCAGGACCGAGTTGCCAGGGGTTGTCCTCTCCCCTTGGCTGGTCAATGATTGCCTTCCTGCGTCTTCATGTGGCCTTCCCTCTGTGTGTCTGGGTCCTAATCATCTCCTCTTGTGAGGACGCCAGTCATATGGGATTAGAACCAACCCAATGGCGTCACTTTAAGTTACCTCTTTAAAAGAGGCCCCTCGCCAAACGTAGTCACTCTCCGAGGCCCTTGGAGCTCAAACTTGAACACGCTAACTTGGAGGGGACACAGGTCAGCTCATAAGACCTGGTTTTCTGCTCCTGGCCGTAGATTGTTATCCTCCTTGAGAACTTTCTTCTGTCTAAGGTTAACCTCCCCCAGCCCTCCACACAGATAATCTTTGAAACCTCGAGTCCTACTGTCACTTTGTCAAAAGCTTAGACTTGAGAGCATTTGCAGTTCTGGAAGACAGAACTGCAGTGTTTTTATCTCATCTGCTGCAGACTTCCCCGCTCACGCCATGTGACCCCCTAGTCTAAGGCTCCAAGGCCACTGGTGGCACCACATTGACACAACTCACCTGAATGTATTTCTCTTCTTCCCTAGTGGCCCTGCAGACATTCAGCGGAAGTGGCTCATGACCTTTTGAGCAGGTTAGAGGCAAGTGAAGGAGGTAGGCATACACCCTCGAGACATACCCACAGGACCCTGCTGTCTACTGACTGGCTCATGATTTGGAGTCAGCGAGAAATCTGGGTCCTCAGCCCTTAGTTCTGAGCACTTCAGAGATGTGGCAAAAAGAAAGTGCCAGTGAGCTTATGGCTCAACAGACTTCCCAGCATTTTACCTTTTACCAAACAGCGGTGTTGATGTAAATATTGTTACCGGGGAGTGGGGGGCACCTGGGTGGCTCATTCAGTTAAGCATCTGACTTTGGCTCAGGTCACCATCTCACGGTTCATGGGCTCAAGCCCCACATTGGGCTCTGTGCTGACAGCTCAGAGCCCGGAGCCTGTTTCAGATTCTGTGTCTCCATCTCTCTCTGCCCCTTCCCCGCTCACGCTCTATCTTGCTCTCTCTCTCTCTCTCTCTCAAAAATAAATACTAATTTTTAAAAATATAAATATTGTTACCAGGGCAGACACATCTTTACAGAAGACAGCCAATAAGATCTGTCGGCTTTTAAGAATCACAGGTTGTATTTTACGGGATATAGCAGTAATTTCTAATGTCTGATTGTCCAAAAGTCTCCTGGGTTCAACTAATACTTTCAAAAGCAGTTTTAATAACAAAAAGTTGACCAGAATTACATGCTTCACAGTGGTCTCCAATACTTCTCTGAACATTCTCCCGCTTCATCAGCAGTTATGAGCATTGTGGTTTCTAAGGCTAAACACTGGAATTTTATTAGTACTCAGTGTTAAAACTTAATCCAGTATTAAACTGAGAAGCACAAACTTACAAATATGGGAAGAAAACAAAGAGAATACGGAGAGAATAATGTATCTGCAACAAGGGTTGGCAGACGATGGTCCACAGGCTAAATATGGCCCACCACCTCTTTCTGTAAATAAAGTTTTATTGGAACACAGCTATGCTCATTCATTTATGTGTTGTTTATGGCTGCTTTCATGCTGCTCAGCAGAACTGAGTAGTTAAAACAGAGATCACATGACCTACAAAACCTAACCTATTTACTGTCTGACCCTTTACAGAAAAAGTTAGCTGACCTCTGATCTCCGACATAGAATGTCAGATGGATACAAGTGCCTTAACATAAAATTACTATGGTTTTGATTCTCCTTGTTTTTTCTTGTTCCACTGAATCTTCCAGATTAAAAGATGTGAACCCAGTGAGACTAATAGATTCCCTTTTGGTGTAAGTTATTTAGTGAATGATGTTTTGACTGGATTCCCTGTCTGTAGGTCACCCATATACTACCCATGGTTGTCATGTCATCGTCCCCCTAACCACTGATGGTGATCCAGGTCCCTGGATCCAAGATACCCTGGCACCTAATTCTCCAAGGCTACATTTCTGCCTGAGCAGGTGTTACATGCCTTTGGCTTTTGAGACATGTATGTATATTTTCCTTCTAACTCTGAAGACCCAGGAACTTAGATATCCTAAGATATCTATGTGTGTTTTTTCATCTAACTTGATGGACTGCTGTTCTTTCATGTTCTTGGGACCACAAAACTGTTAGGGAAGATAGCAACATGAGTGTGTAACATCACTCAAGTCTGTGTCTGATTCAGGCTCCTCGCTCAGATGAGGCCACACTTCTGACGGGGCCGAAGTCTGGGTTTCGGCTGATGGCAATTCCTCATCGTCTTTCTTGCATAAACCACGCTATGGTGATAAGCGTATAGCCATCGTTCATCATTTACTCCCGAAAACTGGAATGGAGCTGCAGACATCTGCCAGGCTCTCTGAATGAGAAGCCTTCTGGGATTTAAAAGCACCCGCCCCAACCTGGCCCATTGTCTCAGCTAGACCTGATCTGCACCGGCAATTTCTTTAGCTTTCTTTAAATTTTCCAAACGTTGACTTCGTTTCTAAACTTTGTTTTCAAAGAAAACTTGGAAAGAAGTTGTAGGAGGTTACAAGAAGAAGCAGCAACATTCTTTACGTAGCCTGATTTGATCCATTGATGTGATATTCTTTAGGTTGTATGGAGCAGGAGGTCATGCATGAACAGGGTTGAGGACCAGCCCAGTTGACTCCTGGCCAGCATCTGACCTGTCTAGCAGGGGGGAGGTACGCGGGGTGGTGGAGAAGAGCCTGCTGGCCCTGGGCATTCGGTGGGTCTGGAGAAGACCAGCTCAGCAGTCATGCGGGTCCAGGTTGGTCAAGAAAGCCCCGGCGAATCTTGGCCTGGCTGGTGAGCCCACTTTTGGAGAAAGCTGTTGGTTTGAGTGAATCCCCGAGAAGGGGAAGAGAAGACGATAGGGGATTGAGGGGAAGGGTGTGGATTACACCTACCTCGGAGGCTTGGTGGAGAGAGAAGGGAAGGAGAGTTGACGCTGGAGAGGCAAGTCAGGCAGAAAGCAGGGATGGCCCACGTGAGGAGGAAGGTGGGTGGAAGGCAGGGAGTGAGGCAGCGGCATCTGTGAACTGGTGAAATCACATGCTTGGGTTGGCTGCCTTGGGTTGGCTGCCTTGGGTTGATTGCAGGTCTGAGTGAGTACAGGTGGGGGTCTCTGCACTGGCTGGCTCCTTGGCCTTGGGCCTTCCCTTTGAAGCTCCAGATCTTCACCTAGGCAAGACAGATTCAAGAGTCTACGCTGATTTGGTATCACCCTTGGAACCTTAGCGACACAGTGCTGTGTATTGGGGATCTTTTTTTTTTTTTTTTTTAATTGCAGACAAAGTGAACTTTCTACGCTTGGCCGATCTCCTCAACATTCAGGTGGTCACCATCAACATCAGGAGACACCCACTGGAAGACTGGATGCCTCGGGTATACCGGTCATCTGCAAGCCTCTTGGTCCAGAGGATGGTTCAGCACAGGCAAGTGAGATGGGGCCAGTTTTCTCTCAAGTTACTTTCAAAATGGAGGCGTTTGCAAATGCTGTCTGGACTGAATACATTTCATTCTTGAAATTATAAATCAGCCCCCTGCTTGCTGCTTTTGGTTTCTCAGGGAGGCTTGCAAAGGGTTCTGGATGTGTTTATTCAAAAGGACAGGCTTCTGGATTATGCTTCCTTCTGCCCTATTTCCTAAGATGCCCAAGGGCCACAGACTAGATGTGCTGTCTGAGCCAGAAAAACTGACCGCTCTCTGAAATCAGAAGGTTCTAGCCTCATCTCGAGTGATTAGGAAGTTGATGTCAGATATGGCACTTTGACTTTGTAAAGTCTGTGGTAAGAACTCCTGAATTAGAGTCATTGGAATGGTCATCAAGAAGACCATCAATTCTTTTATTCTCAAGCAAATGGACTCCGGAAAGAGGCATTCATTGTGGTTGCAGATCGTATATTTCATATGCGTGGCACAGAGTAATCCGTATCATCAGAGGCTCGTCCTCTTGCTCTCTGAATTTAGTGTTTCATAGAAGAGAATGGTTCAGAAGTCCTTGAAAGTGTCTCAGCCTGTGACGCAGGCACCCCATATCCCTTTTCGCTGTCCATATTTGGTATTTATCAAAGCCCTTTATGTAGAGACTTCTTCCCATTACTCCCAGCCTTGAATTACTGATGTGTTTCATGTACTGGATGCTTGTGTGTCCACCTGAGGCATCCTGAGCTGGGTCCTGGGTCTAGAGCTTCACAGAGAACAGTGGGGTAGGAGCCCCTCTTGTCTTCCCAAGGGTCACCCCGTGTTCTCTGACGCACAGGGACAGGCACCTAAGCAAAGAAGCCTGCTCTGTAGTTGAAGAGTCGGGTCAGAGCCCAGCTATCATACTTTTTCACCCATCTCCCCCCAGACTTGGTGAGGAGGATGGACATACCAGTCCCCTGGAAGGCTATGTGCCTTAGGGGTGAAGAGGCTTTCAGAAGCTTTCTTAGTTAAGGATGTTCATTTTCTAGGGACGAGTAGCAGAGGCGTAATGACCCCGTGCTGAGCCCTAAACCCTCTCCTTGCCCCAGTTCTGCCTAAGCTTTCACCTGATCCAGGGACTGTGCCCCCAGAGGGGAACCTGGAAAAAGCACGCCTCTATACCCCCTGCTTGCTGAGTCTTCATGTTCTCCTTGGCTGGAAGGGCTACACCAAGTATCAGGGTTGGCAGGTGAATTTCAGGACCCTGGCCGTGCCGGAACCTTTACTTACTTGAGTCACAAGTGTGCATGTGTGTGCGCGCGTGCATTGGCGGGACGGGGGTTGGGGGCATCTCGTATTCATCACATTGTTGGGAAACAAAGTAGCCCCTCTGAGGCTCTGAACATGCTCCTTTTATGGAAATGTGTGATGATGGGATCTCTTCTTTTCTTCCCTCGTGGCAGGATTTTTGTCTGGGTTTATGATGTCATCATTCTAATAAATGCCATATTCATTGCTCTGGATGAGAGAAACCCCTTCATTTCCTACGCAGAATGGCTTTTCCTTTCTCTCTACATTATTGAAATTCTCCTGAAACTGTACACATACGAGCCCAGAGCCTATTTTGACAGAAGGCAGTTCTGGAACTGGTGAGCATGTGTATTCTGGCGTGGCAGGGGGTGGAGGGGGCAGAGGCCCTGGGCGACGAAAGGGGGTTTTCTCTCAGTGTGCGGAATATCGTAGTTTTTCAAGCTCCAGCTGCCTGGTTTTGGCGCATCTTATAATGAAATCTTGGGGGGGGGTGTGTGGAAACATCTGGTTCAGGCAAAGCTGTTATTTAGGATGTGAGTTTGAACTGACTCTAGCTAAAATGAGAATTGCAGATCATGACATCCTGGATTTGGAAAGGACCTTAGAACATCATACCCAATGAGGCAGTGCCTTCCATAGCTGCCTCAGCCCACTCCGTGGTCTTTTTATCAGAGAAGTTGGCAGATGTGGCTGGACAGTGAGACCGCCAGCAAGCTTTTTCCCACACTGGGTGTGTCACCTGTGGCCCTTTCTTCTCCAGGCTGTGTACCTCCTAGTCTTGAACTATCACCCACATGCTGTAGACCATCTCAGATGCACCGCGTGCATTGGCGGGGTTGGATCTTGGTGGTCACTGCTCTCGGTGCCAGGAAAGTCACTGGGGATGCACGTGTGGCCAAAGAGGAGCTAGTTATTCTCGTCCAGTGCTTTGGCACGGCTGTCCTTTGATACTTCTGTCAGGAAGAAAAGTGACGATGTGATGAATGTCCCCTTTAATTAAAAAGTTGCAATGTACCCAGTAAAATTAATACCAAGAAAAATTATGCCATGTATTCAGAAAATGTGTCCAAGTATTCTTGCAAGGACACGGTAAAACCTTGGACTGCGGGTAGCTTGTTCTGGAGTGTTCCGCAAGACGAGCAGACATTTCTGATAAATTTTAACTTGATAAACCAGCGACGTCTTGCAATACGAGTAGTACATGACGCCGAACATCACGTGATCACGACTGAGCCAGTGGTTCTTGAATTTCACTTTGGTATCCAAGGGCTTTGGATTGCAAACATGTTTCCGGAATGAATTATGCTCACAAACCAAGGTTTTACTGTATATCATTATTTTGTAAGACAAAGTGATAGGACTTGGTTGATTGCCATGAATTCCCTTGGGTGGTTCATTGGAGCAGCCAGTGAATGATCATTGGATCATTCAAATGTAGTATTTCTTGTTTCATCTCCACTGTTCTAAAAATTATGGAAATCAGTTTCATGGCCGGCTCATTGCTTCGTATGAGACTCGATTTAAAGTTTTCTTGGGATCAGTTGTGTCCTCACAGGCCCTTCCCTTGATCCTTCACCAACTTTGCTTCTGCACCATTAGGTTTGATACGCTGATCATCATCGCGGCCCTGGTGGCCACTGTGGCCAACACCACCATTCAGTCAGGTCAGTGCCACGGGCTCTCGGCTTCACCACCTCCTGGGATCGTGCATTCAATTGGTAGCCTTTGTTGAACATCCACCGTGCACCACTAAGGTGTTTGGGATGAGGCAGCGGAGATACAAGAGAATTCGTGAGAAAACGTTCCATGTTCTGAGAGGGATGGTAGCCTTGTTTGTGTTTCGCTGTAATTAGAGATTTCATTTGTATGCATCCATCATACCAGATAAGGATCTGGTCACCTCCTCTCCAAAACTGCCCTCAGTCTCATGGCTTAACCTCCATGTCCATCTTGGCCCCCTGCCCATCTCGGTCCCCTCCCATGGTCCAGCTGTAGCCGGAACTCTGCATTGTCCCTTGCCCACTGCCCTCTTGTGTCTGCACACACATTCCACCACCATTGTGCACACTCCTTCCTGTGGACACAGAGGGGTTATTGAGAGATAGTGCAACAACTTCTTCTCCTTCTTCTCCCTCCTCCTTGTCCTCTTCCTCCCCTTCTCCTCCTCCTCCTCCTCCTCTCCCCCCTCCACCTCCTCTCCCCCTCCTCCTCCTCTTTCTCCTCCTCTTTCTCCTTCTTCTTCTTCTTCTTCTTCTTGTTCTTCTTCTCCTTCTATTTATTTATTTTAACAGGAGAGAGGGGGCCGAGAGAGAGGAAGACAGAGAATCCCAAGCGGGCTCTGTGCTGAGGGCCTCCCCAACGCAGGGCTCCGTCTAACAAACCGCGAGATTGTGACATGAGCCGAAATCAAGATGCAGACACTTAACCTACTTAGCCACCCAGGCGCCCCAAGATAGTGCAGCCTCTTAACATAACTCTATGAAATGAATATTGGGGAAGGAAGGGCTTGTTGAAATGTGTTCTGTTGAACCTGATCCACAGTCTTTCTTAAAGATGGTCTGACGTCTACACCTCCTCTCATGATTCTCTAGCTCTAGGGGTGGGAGGGCACGCCTGGTGTGGCTTTGGCGGGGGTGGGTGGGGGGGGGGTGAGTGATTCCAGGAGCACTTACTTCCTCATTGCTCAGAGCCACTGCCCTGGTCTTGAATCCGCATCTCTTCCCAGTACTTACGGGGTCTCAGACCTCACTGAATAAAAGGGACGAGCCAGAGGCACCCATAAAATGGAATGTTACGTGATGGTGGGGTTTCTTTTGTTTTTCCTAGCAAGAAAATACAACAGTCAGCAGATACTGGATATTGTGCTGATCTTAAGGATACTCCGGCTCTTAAGGATCATTGTCAGCATTCAGAGGTAAAGATGGGGCGACGTGCACTCTGGTGGTTCCCACACTGGAGCCGGCCGGAAACCCTTCCCGCCTCAGAACTATAGACGCACCCCGTTACGAAGCCGGAACGTAACCTGTACGGAGGACCTGGCGTTCGCTTGGGGCCGGGGGGGCAGTGGGGCAGGGAGGGAAGTCAGGATGGTGAAGAGCACCCACGTGGCAGCTCCCTGAGGGAGCTCTTGTCACCCACTTTCATCCCTGTGACCCCTTCCCTCAACTGAGCAGGCTGCACGGTGACAGAGTAACAGCGGCTCTGGTGGCAGCTAACGCTAACCTGAGTGTGCCCGCCGACAGCCCTCGATGTAGGGGCTTTTATCATCCTTTGTCCACAGGTGATGATGATGGAGCTCAGAGAGGTTGAATGGCTCCCCCAATGGTGCACAGCTAAGAAGGCAAACTCCTGACAGGATTTAAAGAACAGATCCAGGACTGGGGGAAGGGATATTGAACCAAACCCGCCAGCCTGGTGTCAGTTTTACTTTGCGGCTTCCCTTGGGCCACCTCTTGGTTTTATCCTAGGTTCCGGGTCATCGTGACGACCTTAATTAACATTGGACCCACAATACTGACGTTCGGTGGACTCGTCTTGGTAAGTGGCTTGTCCTTGGTGCTGATCTACGTGAAGTAAGCGGTAAGATGCTCTTTCTTGGCAACTGTCCGTAAGCCTTATTTTAAGTGAGGAAAAGAAAGGGCGATTAAGCACACGAGACCCACTGGTTTCTAGTACTCCTTTTCTAGAATTATCCGCTGCCTGCAGACCCTGGGCATATGCCAGTTAAGGTACACCGGCGACTGGGATAGACACCAGAACTTCCGCAGCCTAACACAGTCACAGTTTCTTTCTCGCCCACGGTCTAGGTGGGTCTTCCTGGCTGGCAGGTGCTTTCCAGGGATGTAGGTTCCTTCCGGCTCATGGCTGTGTCCCCCCCCTCCCCGCCCCCACCCCCGCCCCAGACCTCAGATCCTTCTTCGTCCTGCTTGTGGCCTCAGACCCCACCTCAGGGAGGCCAGGGGGCTGGTGTCTCCCCCTCAGGAGAGATTCCGCACCGCGAAGGACGGAGCTCGGATACTGGTGGACACTCTTCTTTTTCGTTTCTGTTAGCACAGTGAGAAATCCTATTAGTACAGAAGAATGAAAGGTAGACTTCCAGTCATTTCTAGCCCCCACCTGCCTCTTTCCCAGATACGACCGTTATTCAATGTTTCTTGTTCCTCTTCCTAAATATCTCTATGTCTGCAACAAGCATACCACAGACATGCATGTCTGTGTCTAGTTTATTGTTCGGTCAAATGGAATGATCCACAAAAGGGTGCGCACCTTTCTTCCACCTCCTAACCTTGTCCCACGTCCTGGAGTTCACGTGTGTCCGTGTCGGCTCTGGGAGGGTTAAGGGTCCCACCGCAGAGGAGACTCGGGAGCATGTCTGACCAGCCCCTCTACTGACAGACCTCTGAGGTTGGTCTCCCCTTGTTGCCATCACAACTGACGTGGTGAGGGCCATTCTTGTACCTGCCCCTTAGTGTGCTTCTGTGCGCTGATCCGCTAGGTCAAGAGGGAGATGTGTTCAAACTTTGGACGGCTTGGTGGCCGGTTGCCTTCCCAGAGAGTGCTCCCTGTGTACCCCAACGACAGCGCGTGACAGCCTGTTTCTCCGCGCCCTTCGCACCCTAACCAGGGGTTCATCAAGCACTGCCCTGTTTTCCAGTCTGACAGGGGAGAAGATGGCACCGTGTTGCTTTGACGTGCGTGTCTTTCGCGTTTCATGAGGCTGAGCGCCTTCTCCGTGTTCTTTTGGACAGTTTTGCTTATCTTCCCGTGAGCAGCGTGTTCATATCTTTGGTCCATTCTTCTGTTAGTTCTTAAATATGATTTGCAGGAGTGTTTTGCCGATTAAGGAAATTGGCTATTGGCAAGTTGTTTATAGTGTAATTACTTTTCCTTCTCTGTCACTTGTGTTTTGAGTTTTTCTTTCTTACCTAAAAGCTTTTTGGGTTTTTTGTTTTTTGTTTTTTTGTAGATTTTGTATGTTTTGTTATTTGTCTATTTTGGGGCTGTATAAAAATTGACATTAATTATATAGCCATATTTGTTAGTCTTTTATTTTATAGTATCTCGTTTTTATGTCATGCTTAGTGGGGCCTTTCCCTACACACTTCTTTTCCCCCAGTTCCTTCATGGTTTGTTTTTTACATTTGACCCTTTCGACCCTTTGGAATTTATTTTGGTATAAAAAACAGGGTGAAGACACAACGTTACTATTTTCTTTTCTTGGGGGACCAACCATTATGTATTGAGTATTTATTTTTATTTTTTTTTAAATTTTTTTTTTTCAACGTTTATTTATTTTTGGGACAGAGAGAGACAGAGCATGAAC